TTGAATGTTTGTCTGTGATTTGTGCATATCGAGATCCTCGTGGGTTCCAACAGCACCCTCCCTGTATATCATCTTGTATTAGTTGAGAATTCACTTTTACTTTATCGATATTTGCTATATCTGATGTCTTTGTATTAGCTTCTTAGTAATAATGATATCCTCAATGATTGAATCTTCATTAATCTTTTATGTTTCTTCATATTTTCAAGGTTGCTAACGTTTCTATCTTTTCAAATAGACTGATTGTGTAAAAATATACTCCTCCTAGTATATGCTTGATTCACACATCGATATAATACTACTTGATTCTTAACTGAGAAATTTTCTTAATTCAAATACTCCTTTGGCTTTCCTCAAAACTGATACTTCCAGAACACACAGCACTGTTGATACATATGAAAAAACTTCATTTCTCGTCGACACGAGTAATATCTCGTGTGCGGGCTAGGAAGTATCGACTAGCTATTCTGTAACGATCTCCTCCCGCAGAGTCGGTCTCACAAATGGAGATGCTCGACATTCCCTTACTAACGATCTAACTCCAATACCCTTTCACTCTTCGTAGGTTTCGATCTTTATGAAGTATACATAGTCCCTAATGGAGACTCAAGACTCCGCTCAACATTAATGCGGGACATATATCGCGCCATCTCGAGAAAATTTCGCATGAGGCAGAGGAAACTAATCGACGAGTCTCGCATAATCGAGATTCATTGATTTGAGGATTCATACACTGTTCGAAAGATCAAAATACTATTTTGACCAAGAATACTAATTCAAGGACCCCCAAAAGGACAAGGTCGGTCAGGGTTCTATGCACTGTCACCAAGAGGTGGCACACACGCTGGCGCTGCATATGCGGGGCGCTGGGACGCATGCATGTACCTACTCGGATACCAGCTACAAGGTCTAGGTTTTGCCGTACACACTAGTCTGAGGAGTTCCTGCGTGCGGTGATGGCGGCAAAAGCTCACGAGCGAGTCGACGGTTGGCTGCGCGCTAGCCTCGCGTCTCTCAGCTCGGGTGTGCGTGCTAGGCCACCACTTCGCGTGACTACACCCAGCCAGGTTCGGCGCTCGGTTCGGGTACATACTAAAAATTTCAATTTCTGGGTTTCACAATTTCTTAGGTACTCAGATAGGAAAAAGGTATCTCCACTAGACTCAAAGCTACAAAGATTTGGGTTTGACAACAATAATTTCCCAAAGGGATCGAACATTGGCATCACTGCCGGGAACAATCCTAACTCGGCGGTCGTCGTCGAACAATGGAATCGTTAGCTCGCTTGACTCTTCCGACTAACTGTGTCGGCCGCCACATAAGCTCTTTTACATGTAGGTAAACGTGCCAGCAGTCCTAAACGAGCTCTTAGAGTCGTGACTTAACTCTTTACCACTAGAGTTCAAGTCCATATATGTACGGAGGACATTTCTAGACTCCATCATTAAACACTAGAGTCCGAATTAAACCAAAGGTGGATAAATTTCTTAAGCACCATACAAGATAAACAAAACAACAAAACTTATACCTCGAGCTGGCGCGGCGAGACAAAGCGAGTGGTCATGGTCACTAATACAATAACACTGGTGATAGTCTACAGAAATGCAGACTAGCTCTGATACCATACTGTAACGCCCCGTTTTATTTTAAAGAGTTTACCGAATTTATTTATAAAAATCAGAGTTACTTTTTTGCAAAATCCCAATTTAAAAACTTTATATACCAACTGGAGCTACTTGACTACTAACAAAAATAACAATTAAGTCCAACCACAAAAACCTACACATGCATCTCTAACAACATAATAATCAAACCAAGTTATGATAAGTTTCAAAACCAAATTCTAAAGATTTCAACATGATCCCATCAACATGATCAACAGAAAGTTTAAGCGGAAGAATCATAATCCATAACTAACAATCCAACACAATTAAATAATGCGGAAGCAAAGACATGACGTTCAATGACCACCACTTGCTCGTCTCTCGCTGCCGCCGCCAACATTGCTCAACCTAAAGATATGAAGAGGAAACAAGAGGACAAAACAAACAATGGGGGTGAGCAAAACCACCATGCTCACCAATATCGCATAAGTCTATCTCGCATAAAGATCCAAAACCATAAATAGAGTATGCATAGAATCCAGGTCTGTCTCCCTATTCGGCCCTATCGCAAATCTCCTATGTATATACAACAACCGTCGATCATACATCGGCAAGAAAGTAACTGGAAACCTTCCCTCCCTAGCTCGACAAAGGCAAAGGGATCCTTTCTGGAAGACAGTGGAGCTGTTTTTCCCCTCCCAACTAGGAAAACGGTTCAGGGCATCACCTCCCAACTAGGCAAACAGTTCAGTGACCTTTCACTGTTTATGCATTTGTCAAAGGCACTAAAGGCGAGACGCCATTGCCGGTGTAACTCACTAGACTAGAGTTCTCAGGCATACTTAAGTTATCGAAATGAACATTTATACGAAATAACAAAATGCGATAATTATAGATACAACAACTGTACCCACCTGGTCGAACAAGAGATAACACAAAACACATGTAGGTAGCGAGGTCGGCTCGTCACACACCTACATATATTAAAATAGTCCTATAATAAACTATGCAACACACGAACAACTTATAACAACATACATGGATTCCACTCAGCACATCTAAGTCATATAGGCATGCATTTAACAAGTAAAACCCAATTTCAAAGGTACAACACGAGATTTCCAAAACTTAAAACACCCAAAATAGAGTTACAGTCCAAAACTGGGAATATGAAACTAACCAGACTTCAGTATATGTTAGCTAACTGGAGCTACAGACATGCTTTCAATGAGATTAAAAAACCACATGATAGCTAACTCAAATGTCTATAACTTTGATGAAAACCAAATTGGCAAATAATCATTTTATAAATGATTTTGGACACAAAACA